AAGGTTACTCAGCACGAGAGCTACTAACCTAACCTAACAAATTGATATTGCTCTTCCATCCAACCGGCTATACGAAGAAACACTGCTTGTCTCAAACACCTATTAAAAACTTTCCTTACTATTAATATCAACAAAATCGTAACTGAATTCCTAAAAACACAATACTCTTCTATATTTTGGAAGAAATACAAAACAATTGCTGTTCCCAAATGCCAGAACTGCAACACTCTTCTCGAAGCGCGTTTCACCAACGTAGTTGGCATCTTATAAAGTTTCAGGATACAAAAATATTGTGGCAAGATGATGACCTATGGCGGTCAAGGACTCTACCCTTAATTTAGCACCGATGCAACATAATGTCACTTTGACCAACACGAGGCGTACGGAACGAGAGGGGACCGCGGTAGCTGATTCCTTGACTTGATAGTTTTGATGATGTCAACATATATTATATTTGATGATGATGTATTATAATAGGACAGTTGTTAGTAAGACCTGAATGGGGAAGGACCCCCTTGTACAACTCCTAGGCAATAAACCTAGTACCTAAGTTTTCTGGTGTTTCCCTCATGGTATTTCCCTCATAAGCCTACCCCTGAGTCACCCCCCAAACCGAAGTTGTAACAATATCAATAGGTAACCTGCTTTTGACTATTTGAGCAAAATACATGTTTCTCCAATGGAAGGCTTATGTCATTTTTTCGAAAAATATAAAAATGTGATATCATCAGCAAATAATTAAATTCTTTCCTTTCAAGCCCAAATCTGATATTGAGTTTATGAATTCCAGAAAGAGTATAGGTCTAATTAGTGATTCCTGAAGGACTCTGCAACCATACTCTATTCATCTAAACAACGGAGTACTCCAAAACATTATCAGGCACGTGATCTCCCAGACAAGGCTGCTTATACAGAGTCACGATCAATTTTTTTAAAATAATATACGGCTGGGTATAGGAAGTTTTTTAGGAGGAGTGTTGAGACACAAATTATACGTTTCTTCAGCCTTATCACTACTTGACATTTTAAAAAATTTTGAACTTTAAAATACTGTACATGTACACACCATAGGCGTTAAAACGTAACTTACCATTCCGACACTGTAACAATGAATTCTGCTTACCGACTGCAGTTAAATCTGATTGGCCAGTGTAAGAAGGCTTGCTTATTTTACCCAAAAGATGCAGATGTTGATCATGCTTTAATCACGCATCTATCTTTGTTTGAATTGCTATTTGTTGGATGGATATAGTTCAGATAAAAAACGATACATATATTTTTTTACCTTATTACTTGTTTAGCCGAAGTAATTGTGAAAAGGATAAGGTTTACAATTAAAAAATATATTATCCACTTGTGTTATGTTCCGTGAATTTTTTAGTTTAAAGAATGAATCAAGTGGAGATAACAATTATTTATAAACCTCCAGGAGAGGTTCATATACTTCCAGGAGAGGATTATAAATAATTGATGAAAAGTTACAACAAAGAATACAACAAATTCATTAGTGATACCTTCCTTTTTCAATTATGAAGTACCTCAAGGTTGTGTGATAAGTAGAATTTGGAACCTCTGGCGTAAAATGATGATGCTAACTTGGTTAGCGAAACGCGCGTCGAGAGACAGCATTTTTGTTCTAGTTAGTTCTTATTGGTAGATACAATTCACATCATAAAGGAAAAATACATGCTTTTGTTCAAAATATTGTAATTATTCATGGGAAAGAGAGGTTTTGACTTTCTATTTCTCATCTATCTCTCCATCTTTATACAAAAACGTAAGAACCTTCCAAAGAAAGGAAAGAAGCAATCGATTTCAAAAAGGTTATTTTATACAAAGATGTGTAGATCATACAAAGAAGTAACTTTCAGACACAAACTGGAAGAAAAAGCCCTCTAGAAACAACTACTTTTATATAAACATTGGATTATACAAAATAAAAATACTTTTAAAACAAATAGTTTTAAATGAACACTGAATATTACAAAATCCACTCTTCTCTATTCAGTTTGTATTCCCAAACATTCGTTATGGAATTGAATCAGATATCATTCACAGGATTGCTACACAATATATAAATGAAAGAGGTAAAATTTCACTTAAATGGAACACTGTCATCCTCACTGGTAGACATCCGATGTTTTGCCGTAAGACACTTGCCTTGCCGGCTCTTCAGTATGGATAACATTATAACAAAAAACACTTGATTCATTCATTATATTGGAACTTTACGTCATGAATGAGTTCAATCTATTCATGTCATCGATGACAGTAAGTAATGACATTTATTTTTCTATGATATTGTCCTCACCGAGTTATAGTAATTTAGAATTGAATGAAGTGAAATAAATGTTTCTCCATAATTTAAAAGTGTTTGCAAGTATTTCATTTAGTGGTTCAAGAATTAAATTAGTGAGACAATTCCCCATGATGAAAATGAGATATTCAATAATATAATATATGATATAATCACTGAGCAGATCACTACCGACACTAACAATGATAAAGGTTTCCTCTTCGGTGAAGAACCGTTTTTAAAAAAGATTTAAATAAATTAAAGATGTTAGTAGTAATGGTTCAGATACCTATATAAGTTTTTGAAAGGAGACATATGTGGCTATCATGTAAGTGTAACTTTCAGAACTTACTATTTGGTGCCTTAATTTTCAAATTATTGTTCTTTAAAAGGTTGGAGCGGTTCCTTCTTGGTCCCCCTTTCGACTTCATANGAAAACATTGATATTTGATTTTTTTGAAATTAAAATAGCGTTTACTCGCAATAAAAGTAGCCTGAGTTACTTCTGGTTCCGTTTACTAATTTTACAGTTTATCAATTACAGCTGATTTGCCTTGGTTTCGTATGCGTATATAGATAGTTCAAACAATGTTAAAAAAAAATATGTTTTTAGAACATAAAAACAGTTCCTTACATTAACATATTTTGTAACCACAATCTCACCGGCGGCTCTGCAGCTGGCCAGGCTATTTTACCAAAAAAAAAATTTATTAGTGGGATTATAGGCCACTAGAGTCTTGTCAGATATTATTCGTGGGAAGTTATACTCCACTAAAATTTAGTGGTTAAAGTTGTCGTAAATGAGTGACAATGGTCTCTACGATGAATAAATTCAAGTTCAATTCAATGTATGCATCTTCCATCACACAACTTAATGTAACTGAAAACCCATGTCAAAAACTATGAATAAACGTCTTGATTGATTGCTCTATCCGTAAGAAGCCTTGGCTAGTCAGTTATAATCAATATTCTGTGAAACTACTGTAAAGATTTTAATATTTTGACCACTATTGAAAAGCTACATTACTCAGAAGTAACAAAGTCTACTTTTTATTCCAATATCCAAACGGGATCTGATCTATGCAGATTGAATTAGTTATTTTCTCTAGTTCTCTGTGGCTACTCATCATTTTGAGGTTCAACTTAATACACCTCGAACTTCACTGTTGGAGAACTGCATTCATGTGGTATAAACTTCCTGAGAACGGTTTTCCAAATGGATTTAATCTCTAGCGATTCAAATCCAATGTGCATCGCTACTTTCGCACAGGCACCGCTCTTAGAGCGCTTCAAGGATTTTTCTGTGGTGCTTGTGTTTTGTCCTCAAACAAAAATTCTCTAGTTCACGCGGATGAAAGTGCAGGCAAAGAATTTCTTCATTTGTTGAATTACACCAATACGTAGCCTGGGCGATTATTAGTTGAGTGCATAATGGATTTGCATTTGTTGGATTTAGTTTTGAAAAATATTAAACGAAATCTAAATATTTACAAATGGAAATTATCTGATAACGTTCGCGCCTGATGCGTAAAAAGTCGACCACGTGACTAAACGAAGCGAGTAACGGGTACTTTACTTGTAAACGAAAATTGGTGACATCCACTTCACATGGAACCTGGCGGCGTCGCGGCATTCGAAAGACGCCAATGCACATTACATTACTGAATTTTTTATAGATTTCTGAATAAAAAAAAAATTAAATATAGCCCGTGTCAATCGCTGATTTGTAGTTTTCTAACGCCAAAGTAGTTTTAAAATCGAATGAATGGTATTTGAGTTTATCCATTACAAACAAATAAATACAATAAGAATATTTCTTGCCTCAAAACACTCGACAGATTTATTTTGGTGTTTTTTTATTATAACTTTATCAGTTTTTCATTATCATTTTCATTGTATCAAATGATGAATGTTTGAAAACAACGATTTTCACGAAACCTTTTTGTAAGAACAAAAATTTTTTCTGCACATTTGACATTGAACAGAAAAAAGTAGGATTTGTCTGATTTTTTACAAAAAGTCTAACAANGTAAAAAAAATATCGAAATTAATTTATATCTTCTAAACGGTAATAGATATATATATATTTAATAACTCTTGAGGTAAAAAAACGGCACTTCAGCCATGAGAGGGGTTTTATGATCCACAATTATAGTACACGCAACGCTAATTGTATACGTTTGCCATTCTCTCGCTTATCACTGGGACAGAATTCATATATGTATCAGGGAATTATTTGCTATAATCACACAGTCACACTAATGGGTGAAATTGAGAGCTTTAAATTATTTAAATCAAAATTGTTTGATCTTTTATGTTCAAATGCCTTTTATTCAATGGACGAGTTCTTAGCATTCTGTTCATAGTATATATAAATTGGTATAGGGTAGCTTATGCTTTTATTTTTATACTAATTGTATTTGTTGTATGTCTGACTAGTCCGATAAGTTTTAGGGAGACAAGTTTATATGCTGTATCTTGTAAAACTTCAGTGATGAATAAACATATCTATCTATCTATCTATCTAGATGGAACTCTCTAGCATCTAATAGTCCTATGAACTAATTATAAATTTGAATTACATTAATTAGGATTTGATTCCATAAGATCTCTGTATCAGACTAGAATTAAATAAACATTCAAGGATACAAAATACTGTAAGACATTATTTTACAGAAATCTGAATGTTATTTTCTTAAGGAGATACTAAAATTCATGTTTACTTATAATTGAAATTTTCAATTAAATACTTACCGCATAGGGGACACAGCCCACCTTGATTCATACGATGATTATATTCATGCCTGTATCTTACTTTTCTATTGCGAAATATTTTTCCACAAAACGAACATGGAAATTTGTGTGTTGCGAAGTGAGCTTGGAAAGAACTCAAACTGAAGCTGGAAAAATGAAATAAAATAAAATTAGTGATGATAATTAACAAATAAACTCGTATGATATTCGCATTTTATTTAGCTTCTATTTACATCGAGATACATTCCAGGGTTGTAGATACTCTGGTGGTGTATCTACAAACCTGAGTCTGAAAATTGATACATTTCGTCATCAATACTGAGACCATCCCTACCTTTCATAACACTCGGTGCACCTTTTGGTAACTTCTTTATAATTACATTCATTCTTGTGTAAGGCGAAATTCCTAATGTTACGGAAATTCTTACCGCACGTTTCGCAGATGATGTCATTACACAAATGTCTCTTGAAGTTTATGAAGTTGCCGTATACCAGTTTACAGTGCAGACATTTGAAAGGTTGAGGATCATCATGTTCCTCTTTTGTGTGGTTTGATAACTCACTTGTAGTAAACATTTTATCACAGTATGGACATGGAAAAACGAAACACTTTTTTAAGTGAGTCTTTTTGTGTTCTCCATTTCGGAATTCTTTTCCACATGCTTCACATTTATTCGAAGAGCCAGGCATGTACTGATAACAGTATGGTTCCATTAGAGAAGCTTTGGATAAACCATGAATATTCAATATGTGGTCTTGCATTTTTTCATCAGAACTGAAGCGTTCTTCACACAAAAGACACTGGATTTCTGTCTGATCTCCAAGCAAAAGCACACGTTTGTTTTTAAGTACGTTCTCGTCAAATTTGGAACAACTGTGTAGAAGTTTTATTCTTTTTTTCTGTAGAGAGTGAATAAATTCGGGTTGCAAATCCGAAATGGAANTGGGTTTGTCAATTATCTGAGTAAGGCGGGTGGTCAAACATTCAAACCGTAATTCGTGGATTTTCGCCATGGCATGGTGTGTTGTCTTGGTGAAACAGCTCCTGTAATGTTTTTGAAGATAATTGATTAAAATACTACATGACTCTCCCAAAAAACAGTCACCATCACTTTCCCAGCCAAAAAAATAGTGTTTGCTTTTTTGGAGCCGATTCCCCCTTTGCAGTCCACCGTTTGGATTTATTGTTTCTGGCATATAATGGTGAATCCAAGTTTCATCTACAGTAATTAATCAGTGCCAAAACTCGAATTTATTGCGCTTAAACTCCGCCAACAGAGCGTTGGAAATGTTCATTCGAACACGTTCTAACGTGAGCAAACGCGGCACCCAACGCGCGGACAGCTTTCTCATACTTGAATGTTGATTTAATAAGTGACAAACACATTCTTTTGACATGTTTTTAACCTCTGCTATCCATTCAACTTCAATTCGGCGATCGTCTAGCACCATTTGGTGAACTTTGGCGATGTTTTCGTCGGTAGTTGCAGTTTTTAGACGTCCCAAACGTTTATCGTTTCCCAAGCTCTACCAGCACGTTAGAATTCAGCTGCCCAAAATTTCACTGTGGTAAACGATGGTGCAGAGTCCCCATACACAGAATCCAACTCATTTTTGATTCATGTAGTCGTATTGCCTTTCGAAAACGAATATTTAATGACAGCTCGATACTCAATTTTGTCCATTTTCATAAAAACACTCACATTAACTCAATCAAACGGATGTTACATAACAACTGCGCGTTCAAAATGGCTGAAATGTTGGTGAGTAACTGTCAACATATGAACAACAAAATTCAATAGTTTTCATTTACAAGTGCTGCTATGTTCATGTTGAAGTCGGAAAATTTTCAAACCACTCTTACATACCAATTCTCAAGGAATTCAGCCATTGGCTCATTCTATACACTTCACGTATTTTTATATATATCCCAGGCTCACATCAAGTCTAATTTTGGCAATTCTGAGTTGTGATATTATTATTCAATTGGGTTTGATATTTTATATAATTAAAAGTGAAGGACGACATAGAGTCTTGATAAAATCAGGTCAATAAACTGCAACTCAGTGAAAATTACTTGTTTTGTTTACACAAGTAATGCTTGGCATTCCAGATATACAAAAACCCTCTTCTATCACAGTCACATGAAATATACAATAAATATCAATTCTGATAGTGAAAGGTAAAACTGGAACCTCAGGACACGAAAAAATACTTCTTCATATACTGAAGACGCCTACTTGGTTCGTGAAACTCGTGTCAAGAAGAGTATTGCAGTTCTGGTGTCTAAGAAACGTGCTTTTTTTGGATTCAATTCTGATAAGAATGTAAAATTTCAATCATAAATATCACGTTGAGTGATATCAAGTAAGTTGCAGTAGATTGATAATGAACAAATTTAATAACATCTATTTAAATCATGGAATGTTGAAACTTGCTCCCAGATTCCTCGAAGCAATTCCTCAAGAAATTACTGTTTCCCCTTCAAGGAACTTAGGATATCTGAAGTCCAGGTAGCAGAGTCCACAGAAATGTTCTGTAAAGTATTGGCACCCATCAATTTCCTCATTTCCTTTAATGCCTCTTTTGATACACTTTCGAACACAAGCCTTTGTACCATTTTATTCACAATCATTTGATAATAAGGTCTTGGGAAGGAAAATTGATGGATGTAGCCATTACTACGTGGTAGGAAATCATAGTGAAAAGACAAATGAAAATTTCTATGTTTTTTACCACTTTTATTTGTAACTAATGTTACTGCAGTTTCGTCCTATACGGACATTTTGAAACTTATACAATATTGTATGAAGAGAAATGAAAATTTCTATGTTTTTTACTACTTTTATTTGTAACTAACGTTACTGCAGTTTCGTCCTATACGGACATTTTGAAAATTATACATTATTGTATATACAATATTGTAAGTGGTAAAAAACATAGAAATTTCCATTTCTCTTTTCATCTTGGAAAGGTGCTGATTTCCAAAATACTTTCTCTATCATAATATGTAGATAAGGAAGGTTTCTATTTCAAATCAAACTAACCTGTTAGTGAGAAATCAAAGAATGTTTACATTTCAATATTGTTTGATGAGAAAGACAAAATATCGTTGCATCATTCATTTCTGAGGAGTATTACCAACTTTTTTTTGGTTGAAAACTCATTTGGGTTTGTCAATTATCCAAACTAGTAGATAGGCAGACTTGGTCCCTAAGAATAGCCCACTGGATCACCTGATCAGATGTCTCTAGATGTTTTTGAGGGGATATGTGACATTTTAAAGTGTACAACTGCACTTCATTTCATAACTCCTGGATAGAAATAGAGGTGCTTCTAATGAAATTACTTTAGAAATATTTCATAAAATATCAAGTTTGTGAATAGACTTCATTCTTGTCAGGAAGTGACATATTTTTTATTGAGATTATCATAATTACCGTTTGCAGATTTTCAACACGAATATACAAACAATAATCACAAATTTCAAAATTATTTTGAAATACGGGGTGTACCATTTAAAAAATCTTAGTTTTGCCTCAATTTTATATCTTCAGAATTAGTCTTCGACTCCAAACACCTTATATGACATTTTGGAGATGATACTCCTACAACATTCTGGAAAAAGTATTAATGTATCCTATCAAACTTTTGAATTTCATGGAGGAATCACTCGAAAGCCAAATACATAGTTTTTTTTTTGAGTATACCTACAAATGAATATCTCGAGAACAGTTCATTTTTGGTATAGGGTGTATTACATAAACTCGCATTAGAATTGAAAATTCTAATGATGAGCCCTAAGGCAAGTGTCTTAAGGTGAAACATCGATGTCTACCAGTGAGGATGACAGTGTTCCATGTAAGGGCAATGTTTACCATTCATTTAATGTAGAATTCCTATGAATGTTACCTGATTTTATTCCATAACGAATGTTTGGAATACAAACTGAGTAGAGAATAGTGTCTTCTGTATATTTCAGTGTTCATATGAAAGTATTTAATAAATCTGTTTTAAAATCTGTTTTTCCGTTAATCAGATGTAATTCAATGTTTATATGAAAGTAGCTGTTTCAGGAGGGCTTTTTCTTCCAGTTTGTGTCTGAAAGTTACTTCTTTGCATGATCTACACATCCATGTATAGAGGTACTTATTTTAAAATTGATTACTTCCTTTCTTTCTTTGGAAGATTCCCACATTTTTTGTATCAAGATGGAGTAGTAAAAAGCCAAATACTTTCTTTCCCAAAAAATGAGTCACTTCTAAAAATATAACCCTCTCCATGTAAATTAAGAATTCTTTCTTACCATCTGTGGCAAAAGTTGCACTAAACCTTCTTTAACAGATTTTCCTTCGAAACAGATCATTGATATGTATGCTCGCTCTGGCTGATGGTAGATCAAATTCAAACATGTACGACACCTTAAAATGAAATTCAAATTAATTATACATCAGACAAAGCCGGTACTTGTTTTTCACCTCTTATTATTTTCTTCTGTAATACTTCTTGAAATATTTTTCTTTTTATTAATATAATAGCTGGTTTCGCTAGCAGTATCAGTGGATGAATTACTGAGTTTGCATTCTTTAGTACTGTCAAAGCACTGAGCTGCAGTTTTGGTATCATTAGATATATTGCTGAGTTGGGAGGCGGGATTTCCAACTGATTGAGCTACACCTACTGGTTGAACCACACATGTAGACTGGATCACATCTGCTGGTTGATTCACACCTGCTGGCTGATTCACACCTGCTGGCTGATTCACACCTGTTGGCTGAATCACACCTGCTGGCTGAACCATACCTGCTGGTTGAACCAAACCTGCTGGTTGAATCACACCTGCGGGCTGAGTCATACCTGAGATCAAATTTGGCGGAGGTAAAATTAGGTTTTGCTGCTGTCCCAAATTTTGTGGCATCACAAATATCTTATTTAACGTAGCTTCAGTGACATGTGGAATTATGATGAGGGGAGTTGTTAAAGGTTTGTTTGTAACTGATGAAAATGCAAAAGTTTGATGGGCATTTTGTGAGGGCAAAAAAGTAACTGGTGACTTGTTTGAAGGTTGTGCAGTTTCACACAAATTGTTTACTCGATTCTGAATTGGTGGAACAAAAATAAGTGCAGCCTGAGTATGAAGAAGCTTCGGCTCTTTCAATTGAGAGTCTGTCTTATTTTTTAAATTTTCAGACACATTTGCTGACCTGACATGTTCTTCACTTTTTAGTGACCCTAATCTTTCCTTATTCAGGATATTTTTTTCAAGTAGAGATCTTTTGGATGCTAGTGGAGTGTGCTGATGATGCATTGATGCAGCTTTTGGACTTTTGACCTTAGAAATCAATTCAGTTCTTAAACTTTGATCAGGTTCTGCTAGTTTCTCTACAAAATGATGTTGGATTTGTATTCCATTGTGAACTGTTTGTATTTGCTGCAAAGGCTTCAATGGATTGAAGTGTGTCTGATGAGTACCTTGTGAGGGCATTGAGGCCACTGAAGATTTCTCCAAAAATTTTATAGTTTTAGGCAAATTGTTCACTAGATTATGTGTTGGTGAAAGAAATATTTGTGAAGGTTGAGTTGGAAAAGATTTTACTTCTTTCAATTGAGAGTCATACTTTTTTTCTGACATTGATCTTGTATGAGGCAGTACATTCCTTTTAAGTAAAGATCTTGTAGGTGATAATGGAATCTGATAATGCCCAAATGAACCTTTCGCTTTTTTGCCCCGAGAAATTTTCTCAAACTGAGGTTGTATTCCATTTCGAATTGTGGCTTTCTGCAAAGGTTTCTTATTTGTAACACTGAAAATACAAACTATGAATCAATTTATCGTTTAAACAGGTTTGCAAATTATGTGTTCAAATTTTTGATACAGAATAAAATTGATATTTTAATAATGACCAGGAAACCATGTCTCATTTCAACTGTGATATATTGAATCCCAGCCTATGCTAGGGATCAAATGTTAAAAAAGGGTTACCTTTAGACTTCTAAGGTTGTCAACAGATCTAATATGAGAGGTAATAATGACATGAAAATAATCATACATTGATTGTACGAAAACTATATTACCAACTGAGATGATAACAATCATAAGTATCTACAAAGTTAATGTACAACGTATCTCCAAACTACTCATTGAACAAAACAAATGAAACTTCCATCAAAGATATTGGAAATCTGAAAATACAAAATCGGAACCATTTATTGATGAACTAAACGGTTAGGACATTGTAAGATACTGGATGACTAGTCAGTAGTTTGAGTCACGCAGTACTTCAATGTATGTAGCGACGTATGTTTATCATCAAAACAGTTGGAACTATAGTTTTCATTCCATCATTTTATGATTATTTTCGTGAGGTAATCACCTCCCATGTTAGGGTTCAATAAACCAAAGAGCATCGACAAGGCACAGTGTTACCAATAAGTGGGGATAATGGACAAAAATCATTAATAACTAATTATTCTCAAACTAACATTTTTGTTAGTTGATTTCAACTCAAAACAAGGTAACAATGGTATATTAATGTATACTATACAGCTATAATAATATTAATTTTAAGTAATTGTAGTATTATCGGCAAATATCGGCAAATTAAATTGACCTTAGTACATTATACTTGAGGTAAACTTTATGCTCTAAAAAACTTGGAAAGATGTTTTGGGAAGTTTTTTTGTTATGTTCCATTAAAATTGTGAACTTTTAAAAACATCAAAAATCAATACAGGATAAATGATAACACAGCACTTACCCATAATCAATTAATATCAGGTAAAAAAAGAATAATTTTGAGGTTATTTCCTTCGGTTCACTTAATAAAAACACTGGTCTATCTTCAACTAGAAAGGTTTAAACTGATTGTTGGTATGAAACAGTTTTGCAGACCTTGTCTTACAAAACTGCTAATGTGCTTGTTGATCAAAATAAATATAATATTTATTGGTTTTATGCGATTCTAATTCCTTGAATAATTTCTCAACATAACTATCGTATTTGAAATTAAATATAAGAAAATAAAAAATCAGGTTCTGATTGGCTTCCGGGTTTTGCCGTGGTCTTCTTTGGTTATAATCCCCAAACGTTTCAGCTGCAAATGCGGCAGTCATCTTCAGTGTCAGTTGGTATGTCAAGAAGAGTACTTCAATCACGCCACTGAAAATAATTGCCGCAGTTGCAGTTGAAACGTTTGGGGATTATAACCAAAGACCCTGGCAAAACCCGGAAGCCAATCAAAACATAGACGTCAGTCGTGAAAGCCTACATTCCTATAAAAATTCAGGTTTTTTTTCATTTTACGTTACAGTGTGTGAGGTTGGAATATTGAACCCTAATATGAGGAGTAACCGCCACAAAAAAATAATCATTCAATGGCTAAACAAAAACTATATTTCCGTTATGATGAAAAAAAAATCGTTACATAATACAATAATGTAGTTTATGTACTAATAAAAATATATATTGAATCAAATCAAATCGTTTTCGATGCAATGCTATTTAATAAAGGATCTCAAGTATTCAAGTTTCCTTGTATTACTGAATTACAGTAAACAACATTGTCAATTTATGAATAGGTATAGATAAAAGATATATAGGCAGAACTGAAACTATTTTTTACATACTGAACAAAAATACTTTCCTCAAATAATGTTTTGGCAATGATTCTGTCTTTATCAGGATATGACAGCAACTGTTGAAAATATCTCTTGATCTTACCAAAATTTTTGATAAAATGTGGCAAAAAAAAGCTTAGTACATAGAAAAACATAGATAGGAATGTTCACATCATATTAGTTAAAAACTAATCTTCTATTGATATACTGGAAGGTATTCAGAGGCTTTCATTAAAAAAAATAGTATCATTTAGGTTTTTCTCACTCAACTCTAATCTAGATTCGAGCGTGGAATGAAAAGTGGAATATTTTGTGTTCTGTGAAACACTTGAATTCGATACATCATCGTATAAAAACCTTTTAGATTTATCACAAACCCCTCTATGAATTGACAAATCAAAAATCATTCAATAAAATAGATTCAAAAAAATCTATTATTTCCTTTAAAAACTTGATTGAAAGGTGAATATATGTTTTTGGAGATATCGATTTTTGGAAAAAATGGCATTTTGGCTTTCCCTCTTGAAATAACTAGTTTCACACGAACAATTGAATTACACGATGAAACAAATAGAATTTCGAAATGAATACTTTCATATGAACATTGAATTACACCAAAAACACTCTCATCATTCAGTTTGTACTCCAAACATTCGTTATGGATTTCAAACAAATAGCATTCACAGGGACGCTACACAACATAATATATGAGAGAGCATTATTTCAAAATTCCACTCTCATGGAACTTGATCATCCTGAGGGTGTCCTTCGTCAAAGTTTCCGTTTGAAAACATTCTTCAGCACCTATTTGAACTTTCAGAGACGAAAACACACATATTTCTTTAACAAGATTACGACTGTATGGCTCATATCATGATGACGTAATGAATGTTTGAAGTACATACTGAATGGAAACAGGTGTTTTTTGTGTAATTCAATGTTCATAGGAAACTAGTTGTTCCAAATGAATTTCTTCATTCAGTTAATCAATATTCATGTAAAATGACTTGTTTTGAAAGGTTTTTTTTCTTCCAGTCTTTATCTGAGAGAAATTTCTATGTATGTTCTACATATCTTTGTAGGGAGTTCAATTTGAACTTAGTTGCTTCTCTTCCATTCCTTTGAAAGTTTTTTCATTTTTTGTATAAGAAGTGGAAAGCCAAAAACTTATTTCAGAAACTTCATTTTCAGTATTCCCATATAATTTAAATGTATAACCAAAAATTGTGCAAAGAGAAGTCTATTTCTGTAAAATATTTCAGAAAGTTCAATAAAGCTACGAATAAAGTATCATTGTTTGGTAAATAAATCATTCAATAGAGATATAACTAATTACACTCGATTATTTCAAAATTTTCGTGACAAAGCAAGATAATTTCTGTAAAATTTGAAATGATTTCAAGGACACTTCACTTCGGAAAGTTGAATCAAGCTATGAATAAAGTCTCAATGTTTTGCAAATGAATCATTTGAAAGAGACATAACTAATTACACTTGATTATTTCAAAATATGTTGTACATTCAAGTTATGTTTGGTACAAGTTATATGTAATGAATTTAATACCTTTACCTTTGTAAATGCATTCTTTTCATAGCAATATCAGTAAGAATTTCCTGTCTCACTTTCCTCTGAAATATATCTTGAAAACTGCTACTTTGTGGAACAAATTTATTGGCAGCTGGACTCAAACCTGATTTTGGTTCATTTATTTCTGGTATCATTTTTAATAGTCTTTTATTGATTAGAGACTCATTTTTGGCAGAACTGAGATCATCTTCAGTAGTGGATGAAGAATTAGCCCTGAAACAATTCAAACATTAAGAGAAAACAATCTATCAAGAGAGTTGAAAATATGCAAAAAAAAAAAAGTGACATAGTGAGAAAAATGTTCATCCTTATAGAGAGCCAATATGCATTCAAGGCTTTGATTTGCTCAAGAGAAACTGGTCTAGGAATGCTGAGAACTGAAGAAACTGGCAAACCTGAATAGATAGTTGTATCATATGATACAGCTTAAACAACAACATGTGAATTTATAAATTTTTGATGAACTTCCGTTTTCTCGGATTTATCCACATTTTTACAAATTTGGAAGAAAAACAATTGTATTATGTGATAGATCTGAAAATAAAAAAATTAAAATCGTTGGAATCGGCAAATATCGGCAAATTAAATTGACCTTAGTACATTATACTTGAGGTAAACTTTATGCTCTAAAAAACTTGGAAAGATGTGTTGGCANGAAACTAAAATAATTTTAGTTTTAGAACTTACATCCTTGGAGTTTCTGTGGGATCATTGTGAACAGATTCTGTTTGAGGCAAATTCATGCTAGGTACTCTTCCACTTTTCAATATTTTTTTGTTGTCAGTGAAATGAAAATCATCTTGAGTGAAATGTTTGGAACATATTCTCTGATCACTTTTCATCAAGAGAGGGTGGAAAGTTTTTCCAATCAACCTAAACCAGACCTCCTTTTGGTCATATGGTATTCTAAAACAGAAAAATCAAAACAATACTCATTTAAGACCACTCAATTGAAACGTCTATCTAAACATATGTTATACAGGGAAAAACAATACACCTGAATGATCCATTTGTTGTTATTATTATATATGTTATATTAAAAAACTACTTAACATATATTTTAAAATATTTACATGTGAAATGTAATGTCACCATCCTCTTTATAACAACTAGAACAATTAGTCACATAACAATGCATTGTATTAAATTAAAATCTCTCTCGCAATGAAATCCCTATCTATAATGACAAAAGAATAGGAAAATTCTGAAAAATAAAATATTAACAACAATAAATACATAACAACCCAATCAAAAACGAAAGAAAACAGAAAGCACGCTCATGGGCTCATGTCATAATCTGTGGTCATGTCATATCATCTCACCAAGACAAGAGATTCAGTGACACCACCGTACGGTGGTGACACTGAGAATAAACGAATTGTTCCTTTAGATGATTTTCTTTATTGTTGTCATGTCCAAGATATGATATTTTGGATTTAAAAACGCTACATTTGCTTAAAGATGATTGAAGTGCCGCATTTTGTAAGCGTGAAAGAACTGTTTTTGAACGATAAAGATGTTCTTCTCTAGTTGTTCCCGTGATTAAGAATATTTTTATGAAGTCTTATCTAAACAAATCTGTTGATACGCATTGGATATGTCTAGTTTAGTTTAGTCTAGTTTAGTTCAGCTAATTTACTGAATGAATTTTCAATTTTTGAAAATGGATGAAGGCCAGTTTCTATAAAAGGATTTTTTGTAACTTTGAATTCCTCGCATATGCGTACCAAATAACGTCGCGTTTCAGTACGGACACAATCAATAAGTGTACTCCATTCAGAGAAATCAACTGGCTCAATAACTTGTAAATTCTCAAGTTAAACCAACTTCTTTTCCAATTATCAAAATTGTTAGTACACATTTCGATATCAGACTCAGAGAGAACACCTTGTACTACATTAAATGTTTCAGAAATCATTCGACAACATTGATATTTTTCACATATCAAGAATCCTTTGACATTTGTCTAGAAAGTTTAGAAATAAAGAGAAGACTGAGGCAGATTTCAGTCTCTGAAACCCCCCATGCCCCCCCCGGGTTGAGTGCAGAAGCTAGAATCTCAACCTGCTGATGGACACTTCAGCAAGATTGACATCTGACCTACTGCGGTCGAAAGTCAAACTTAAGGAGCTTGTACTTTCTTCGTCTGTTGTTTTTATCTACCGTGACTTTACTGTATGTAATTTTTGCATGGGATCCTCTTAAACTAACCGGAGACAAGTGTTTTCTGGTCGCGAACTATTTGTTTGTGTATCTGAAAACAATGTATGTGTTAGATCTATTTATGAAATTCTTATACTTACCGGAGCCGCCTGACAGCGACTCTCGGGGGTGGTCTTCGGTTCTGCTTCGTAGGCCTCATATATTACATTCACAAAACGTCACGGAAATCAACTCTTCAAGAAATATCTAACGTTTCTGATAAACAGCAACATGAAACATCTTCGGGAATTTATGTTGGAAGTAATTTATCAGTTATTATTCCAATAAATGAAATTGTTTTATGATGAATAATCAATTAATAATTGACTGTTGGAAATAAATCATTGAACATCTAATATTTCGTGTTTATTTTGTGAATTACTTTAGCAGTGAGAGAAAGTCGGTTTTTGACGTTGAAAAACAGACTTTTTTCACGGGAAAAAAGTAATTACGCATCAATAGAGATGCAGAAATGCCAAGTTTTTTGACAGTTGTACAAAATAGCTATTTATGATATGAGTGTTAAAAGTAANAAGATTTGTTAACTACATTATTTAATCAATATTAGGTCAATTTCTGTTTCTGCTTCCCAATGTCCAGTGGCGTATCCGGAATTATCTCCTAACATTTGGGTTGAGTTTATTTCACTCTGAAATATTTCGAAATTTGAATCTTGAAAATGATACATTTTTTGAAACAATTTTTATCATAAACTTTGAACCACTAGGTATTTACCTATAATACTACAACCCTCCATGTAACCTAAACTACTATAACCCCATATTTTCACTGAGAAGTTAGATCTTGAATGAAATATACTAGTTGATTTGGAGAGTCAAGAAAAATTGTTTTCGAATTTCGATTAATCCAGTGTTAGAATAAAAGACTATGGTGAAATTATTCGATAATGAAAAATCTGAAACTATTCAAATGAGTTTTTATTGGAAATGGGACGAGTGAATAAATCAGCTTTTTGACCTCATTTTTTATATAACTTCTGTCATATCAAACTAACTTTGATACGCCATGCTTGTACTGGTCCGTGTGTATCAGAGATATAATAAAAGTGTACCGAAATAAAAATAACTTCACTTCTTCACTCATGTAAGATTTTTTATTGTTTCAAAAATACCAAGTGTTTTCATATTTATTCCGTAAAAATAAAAATTACTTGATTACAGGAATCCGTTACAATACATTGAAAAAATAATAGCTTTTTGATGGTGTAAAAAAACGTTAATATCAATGTAAAATGTATGTTGGTTTTATAAGGTCAAACTCCATGCATAAATTGTTTCAAATATATTTACTGGAAAAATTTGCGTTAATGGCTAAAAGTTTTTATGGAAAAGTGTCTTCAGACTATACATTTCTTTCACAAATATATCTAGATAACACCCCTACACTGGCATGTGGCACGAATACAACGATTCACAAGTGTCACCAATTTCACCAAAATCACCTCTTTTATGAAAAGGAGTTAACGAAGTCGCACCTTTGAAATAGCTGACAGGATGTTTTTTCGTGCTCCCATACTAATAGATTTGATATTTATATTCAAATATGTTATATAATATACTACGTTATCAACAAAGATCTAGATTACTATCAGTAGTTGTTTAAACTATGGAGAATTTGCCTTTTTAATTTTATCCTCCACTGTAATTATAATCTCTTCCAAATTGCTATCATCAGTTCACATTTCAATTTAAACAAGATTCCTATGGCTGGGATTTAACCAAATAAGCGAATGAATGTTATTTGGAACTGTCATCGATGATATGGGTGGTTTTAACTCATTCCGCGACAAAAATTAGTAATTTTATGAACGAATTGAGTGTGTTTTCTTATAATGTTATCCGTAATCGGGATTGAAGAGCCGATGAGGCAAGTATCTTACAGCAAAACATCGGATGTCTACCAGTGACAGTGTTTCGTGTAAAGGAAATTTTGCTTCTTTCATTTATTATATTGTGTAAGAATTCTGTGTAGATTCTGCCAGCCTACTGCAGTTAAGTATGATTGGCCAGCGTAAGAAGGCTTGTTTATTTTACCCAATAGATGCAGATGTGCATAGTGATCATGCTTTGATCACACATCTGTCTTTGTTTGAAATGTTTTGTTTGTTGGATGGATATATAGTTTAGATACAAAATAATCTTGTTTAGCCAAAGTACCTGTGAAAATGAAAAGGTTTACAATTAAAAACTATATTATTCACTTGTTTTGTATTCTGTGAATTTTTTTAGTTCAAAACAAATCAAGTGGAGATAACAATTATTCATAAACCCCCAGGAGAGGTTTATATACTTCCAAGAGGTTAATAGATAATTGATGAAAAGTTACAACAAAGAATATAACAAATTCATTAGTGATACCATCATTTTTCAATTATGAAGTACCTCAAGGTTGTGTGATAAGTAGAATTTGGAACCTCTGACGTAAAATGATGATGCTAACTTGGTTAGCGAAACGCGCGTCGAGAGACAGCATTTTTGTTCTAGTTAGTTCTTATTGGTAGATACAATTCACAACTTAAAGGAACTTTACATGTAATATATTATAATGCTCTGAATTGGAAAGAAATGAAAGGAATTATTTATCAAGTTTTACTTTACATAAAGACTTGGTTTGATTTTTGGGAAAGAGGGGTTTTGGCTTTCTATTTCTCATCTATCTCTCCATCTTTATACAAAAAAGTAAGAACCTTTCAAAGAAAGGAAAGAAGCAATCGATTTCAAAAATGTGATTCTATAAAAAGATGTGTAGATCATACAAAGAAGTAACTTTCAGACACAAACTGGAAGAAAAAGCCCTCTAGAAACAGCTACTTTTATATAAACATTGGATTATACAAAATCAAAATACTTTTGGAATAAACAGAATATTACAAAATCCATTCTTCTGTATTCAGTTTGTATTCCCAAACATTCGTTATGGAATTGAATCAGATATCATTCACATGATTGCTACTCAATATAGTAAATGAAAGAGGTAACATTTCACTTAAATGGAACACTGTCATCCTCACTGGTAGATATCCGATGTTTTGCCATAAGACACTTGCCTTGCCGGCTCTTCAGTACCAAATATGGATAACATTATAAGAAAAATCACTTGATTCATTATATCGGAACTTTACGTCATGAATGAGTACAATAAACTCATGTCATCGATTTCTGTAAGTAATGACATTTATTATTCTATGTCTAAATTATTATGTCCTCACTGAGTTATAGTAATTTAGAATTGAATAGAGTGAAACAAACTTTTCTCCATAAGTGAAAAGAATTGGCAAGTATATCATTGAGTGGTTTAAGAATACAATCAGTAAGACAATTTCCCATGACGAAAGTGAGATATTCAATAATATAATATATGATATAATCTGTGAGCAGATCACTACCAACACTAACAATGATAAAGGTTTTCTCTTTGGTGAAGGACCGTTTTTGAAAAAGATTTAAATAAGAAGTTAGGAATAATGGCTTAGAGACCTATATTAGTTTTTAAAAGGTAAGGTTAGGTCCACAGCAACCCGCAAGGGTTTATTGTGGCTCATACCTATTCACACTCGACCAAATAAACCCAGCTTCTTAACGAAGCCGATCAGTTTTTATGGTGAGTGGTCTTTCAGGTCAGATGGTGAGAGTACGGCTCTGCCGAACTCTAAAAACCTAATTCGGTCCCCAGCAGGGCAGGCACAAAGTATATGCTCTGCTGTTTCATCGTTAATGAGGTAGTCGGATAGTCAAGGTGCACGATTCCCTCCTTAATACCTGCAAAAACTTTCCCATATTAGGGTTTTTGCACATCAGCCACACCTGATAATGCCTTAGATTCAACCGTGCAAGGCTTTTTCGCCTCTGGTTTTGGTGAATCATCACTTGAGCGCAAACGTTTGCTAACCTGCTCATGGGAGGTTTGTTCCTCCACCTGAGACAGATTCTGCGTACGTCGCTCAAGAATTTGGTGCAAGGCGGTTTCATAAGGTACCCCGCTCTTGAGGAGACGACTCAGTCGTTTCCTGGCTGCACCACCAAACCATTTTTTTAGGTTCAGTTATTGGATCAAGAG